TACAATCAAATAATTATCGACAAAATATTTCTCTAATTTTATAAGACTTTCATTCAGAAGGCTTTGTTTAAATGGACTTATTTTTGTTAAATTTAATCCAGTTATATGTTTTATAGAAAATATTTTCAATCCAACAGTTTTAATATAATTGAAAGTCATTTTATCAGAAATACTTCAAACAAATGATAAAATCTGTGGTTAGAAATGTGTGATAACTCATGAGTATTATTAGATTTTGACAAAAGACTCAATTTGTTTTTCAAACTAATGATCAGTTTTGACGCATTTTGAGATCAATTTATTGATTTCATATGCAGTATTTTAATAAATCATTCAAATTGAAAGTCATTTATCATTAAAGAAACTTGAGGCAATTTGTCAATACAATCAAATTAAAAACATTAAGTAATATTTATATCATAATACAATATAATGATTCGTTATTATTAGTAAAGTAGAGAAATAAGATATTGATAAGAAATAAACTTTGTAAATGTCATTAAAATTTTATTGTTTCTACTTCAGACGTTATTTTACTAAAATATTGATGTTTATTACAAATACGGTATCTATAAACATTATAAAACTTTTGAGTCAATTGACTAAAACTATTAAATTTCAATTATATTATACAATTAGCTAGTTTATACAATTACCAGTTATCTTTAATTAGCAAAAGAATTGTTATTATTATTATTTATAAACCACACAAATTAATATAAAAATTATTACACATTCACTTACTTTAAATAATTATATGGTGTCTAAAATAGCAGCATTTCAAAAAATAAATTATTTAATTAATCGAATAGAGAATAATTAAATAATTAATGTTATAATTTACTTTCATAAATGAGTACACTTTTAAAAACATACATTACATTACATTTCTAGTAATATGCAAACTAAACACACTTGTTATTTATATCAAAGAATAAATATCATTGATAACTAAAATCAAAACAGTTGCACATAAACTAGCTTACTGTATTTGAACATACAAATTAAAAATTAATCAAAAATTAAAACAAGTGTTTTAAAAGCTTAAAAATTCTGATAAATTCTAAATTCATTTAACATTTAACATTTTGATTTGTTAAGCACAGTTTATAAAACTAGTATATGAAAATAATATAGTTTCTAAAATTATAATTATGAAGTTTTTGAGACGAGTTTTGACAGTAATTAAGAGACGAAAACAGTCTATTGATTGTGAGTTGACGTGTTTTAATGAAAGTTTCAATTATAATTATGATTCAATTGAAACCACTAATAATCTAAAACATGAAAACCTCAGTGAATTAAATGAATGTGAAAGTCATTTAAGACAATCATTAATACAATATTTTCATTTGCCTTTAAATCAATGGTCAGGCAATAAAAAAGTGTTTATTGAATTACTACTAAATTTATTAAAATTAATTTTTATTATAATTCAATTAATTATAATTTAAGACAATCATTAATACAATATTTTCATTTGCCTTTAAATCAATGGTCAGGCAATAAAAAAGTGTTTATTGAATTACTACTAAATTTATTAAAATTAATTTTTATTATAATTCAATTAATTATATTTAATGACTACTTAATTAATTTCTCACTTTTCAAGACAAATCTATTTCATTCAATAACGACAATACATAAACTAAAATGTGATTTAAACGAAGATTTTGTGGAGTGTTTAGAAACTACTTCATGTGATCGTCTAATTCACGACAAAAATGAATTTTACAATTCAATTAAATATACAATTAATTCGTTAAGGAATATATCGGAAATAAGTTTTCATTCATTTTCATACAAAGATAATATACAAATTAAATTTTGTATTTGTAATGTAACACAACATTTTCAATTGTATTACGGTTACAATGATTGCAATTGTGTTCAGCATAAATATAAGAATTGGATTTCATTGAAAAGTTTGATTAATGACAATTTTAAAAGACTTTCATCATTAAGTATTAATTTTAACATGGATACTATTTATTTCAATAGTTTATCTAAATACAGAGCACCGGAATGTTATAAATTGACATTAAGTGTCTCATTTAAAAGATTAGTATTTCCATAAGTTAGTAGATAAAACTACAGTAAATTATCTGCACTTACATGACCTGTGATAAATAGCCTATTAAGTTTATCGTAAGTTTAAGGTTTGTATACAAAACTAAAATATCAAAATTAATTGTGTTTTATATCACTTATTAAATATGTATTGCATTTAAGAAAAGGATATCAACTCAAACAACAAACAGCTGAATATTTTATGAAATATCTTCAAAAACAACTCTCAAATGAAGGCAAACTAAAATTCATCCCAAAATGGATTTTAATTATTTTAAGCTCAGATTGTCTTATAATGACCGCAACCTCTTTGAAACTAAAAACTCACAGCTATGACAATATTTGTATCATTCAAATAATGTTTGGTTCAGGTGTATTTTGTCTTTGGATTAGTTTTATGCGATATTTTAAATTTAATACAAGTTTTTACTTTCCCATACAAGTTATGAAACGGAGTTTTCGTGATATAATGCGGTTTATGACAACATTCATGCTGTTATTCATAGCATTCTCTATATTCGGTTGGACTCTATTCGGGGCAACAAATCCAGAAATCTTTGGTTCATTTACCAAAACATGTGATATATTATTGTCGGCAATGAATACGAGCGGAATTCCAGCCATTTTTGACATTAAATCCAGACAATCTTTACTCATTTGGATTTTATCCCGATTATATGTCTACTCATTTATAACAATTTTTACAATATGTGCCATCAGTTTATTAATTAATATAATTAGAGATTCTTATGATTTTATCAAGTTCAAACATATTGGTTATCCAATGTATGATTTGCAAGCTTTTATAAATAAACCTAGTACATAAATAATATAAATAATGTAAATACTTACATTTGCTTTCAAACAAGATAAACACATAATAATTAATAATTAAAAAAGTTGTTGATTTATTAAGTGGACCAATATTTGAATCAACTTAAATCTTATGCTTTGTGGACCAATAAATGATTTTGAAATAATGGAAAATTTATTAGACAACAAAGTATGAGATTATCAGAAAACTAAAGTTTTATCTTGCACTATACATTGTCTACAGATAATCACAAATAATAAAAACAACGGCTAAATGACAAACTAAACTTAACATAATTGATATCACATTCAGTAATAAACTGCCTACACTTTAAACATACGTGCAAAACATTAGTGTATTTTTGGAAATTGTAAAAAATGTTTGAACGCTTTGTTGCCATTGTTATCGCAAATAAATAAAGATTCAATTATAATGAAGTGGTAATCTAAACAAATACATTAATAATATTATTAAACTTTATGTTTAGTCTTTTGGGTAAACACTTAGTTTTAACAGTTTAATTGATAATTATTTTCCTATTGAAACTTTTCAAAATACTGTAGTTCAAGTGCTCATNATATGAATGAAGTGCATTTCCTATTATCTTAGAGTTACTATTGTTTTAAACCTCAGATCCACTTTTGTTTTGACTTTTACTATGTTTTAAGGTATTTTTCTTAGACTTGATTTTAATGTATATATTAAATAACTGTAGGGAAACCTCCTAATATTTTATATCTAAGGTTTAGAATTGTTTTATAATGTCTAATACTTTGTAACTAAGACCCAAATATGATATATCATACTGTAATTATACAATAGATATTAAAATATAAAAGTATTTATTTACAAATTTAAAATATAATAATAACATTACATATGAATCACAATAATTATAAACTCCTAAATAAAATAGAAAAATCCTAAAAATAAAAATTATAAATAAAATTTATTATGAATCACATGAATTGGTGATTGAATCTGATGTGTGTTAACCCGTAATTACCATAAAACACATTTATTTTGTGGATTCATCGTTGAATTAATAGGACAATTGAAAGCATTAGCGAAACACTTAAAGTTAGCCAGCACACCATTGACTCTAGCCTAGAATTTTCAATGCATTAATAAATTTTGTGACAAAAGTTATTATTGGTAAAAATTACTAATAAATTATAATATTTGAGGGGTCATTCATTTAATGGATACCCACTTTTTTTTCATTCCTAATTATAAATAATTAACAAATACTATTTTTAAATTTATATGTTTGAATAACCTTAAAAATAATAACCAAATATATAATTATACAATTTTTTATTTAATGCTTAATGATTTAAATAATTTTGAAAAACAAATTAATTAATTATCAGAGATTAATACTGTATTAAAAATTGAATTCTAAGATATTTCAATACAATGTCAATTTTATATAACTTTTTATTATTAATTTAAAAATAAAATTAAGTTATTGAACAGACAGTTAGTATGAAATATTTCCATTACTGCTTTCTGGAAAATTATAATTTAATTATGCCATTATATTTTGCACCTATTTTCCAGATCGTTTTTGTCAATTCTTATATGAATATCTACTGTTTATCTAAATTTTTAAATAATATAATAATCTTTGAATCAATGTATAATAAACAATTGACAAATGACTGCTAAAACCTGTATTGACTGTTTACTTAAAAACAGACTTTTTTACTCAATTTCCTTTGAATGATACCAAATGTTTATTCTGTAAATAAAGTGAGTGATTGAAAACAATGAAATTATTAGATTCTTACTAATTTCTAAAATGAATTTATTTCAAATATCACTCGTTTTACTCAAATTGAATCTTTTAGTCACTTCTTTGTCAAATAGTGGCAACAATTTGACACATCCGTAGTTTATACTCTGTTTGACCCTAAGTGACCTGTTTGCTGGGGAAGGGAACACCATGCTGCTCCGTTTTCAGCCATAAAAATAAGTAACCCCTCATAAGAGTCACGGGCGGATACTATTTGAATGGTTCTGGTTAGTTTATTCATTACTGATATTATTACAATTATTATCACAGAATATTAAAATTAGGTATAATTGGGAGCACGAAAAGAATCCAAAAATTATGGACTTTATGGCACAGAATTATAGACCCGGCTATACTTATCAGGATTTTGCTCACCAATTTACCGCCGAGTTCTATGACCCCGACAAATGGGTCCAAATTTTTAAGTATAATATAAATTATTAAAAATTCTCTATAATAAGTATTTAAATGTAGAGCTGCCGGTGCTAAATATGTGGTGTTGACGAGCAAACATCACGAGGGATACACTTTGTGGCCGTCCAAGACTTCGTGGAACTGGAATGCGATGGATATCGGACCCAAACGTGACTTATTAGGTGTTGTTTTATTAGTACACAATTATCATAGCATTTTGTTTATAATCAGTAACTTTATGGTAATTTCAGGAGATTTAGCCAAAGCTGTCCGTAAGGAAGGCCTCAAATTCGGTGCCTATCACTCTTGGATGGAGTTCTTTAATCCCCTCTTTCTGGTCGATCAAAATTCAAGCTTTAAATCACAAGAATTTATTAAAGTATATAATTATTTGTTTATATAATATCTTTAAAATAAGTTATATATCTATTGCTGTAAATTAAGGCAAAAACACGACCGGAATTAGAAGAATTAATCAATGAATACAAACCTGAGCTCATTTGGTCGGATGGGGATTGGATGGCAAACGATACCTATTGGAATAGCACTGACTTCTTGGCCTGGCTTTACAATGAGAGGTCAGTTAACACTATTTATTAAGTTTTTCAATTAATTTTCACTTACTTAACAATAGCCCCGTTAAGGATACAGTTGTTGTGAATGATCGCTGGGGTGACCAAATATTTTAATTGAAACTGTTATAATAAAGTTACCCTACTAATGTTATTATACTTATGAAGGTAAGGACACTGCGTGTAAACACGGCGGATATTACACGTGTACGGATCGGTATGACCCGGGTGTATTACAACCATTTAAGTGGGAGAATGCCATGAGTTTGGACCGTAGCTCCTGGGGCTTCAGGAGAGACGCACAGCTCGACGATTATATCACCACCAAAGAGCTTATCACACAATTAGTGCAAACTGTCAGGTGATCCATGTCTGCAAATATACTCATAATTAGTAATTAATTAATGAATTAATTGTGGAAAACAGTTGCGGCGGAAACCTATTGATAAACATCGGACCCACAGCTGACGGAAGGATTAATTTATTATTTGAGGAGCGGTTGAGACAATTTGGGTCTTGGCTTGAAATGAACGGAGAAGCGATTTACTCGAGTAAGCCGTGGAAACACCAAAACGATACCATCACTCGAGATGTTTGGTATTATAATATAAAAGACATATATATTTCATATTTGAGACATTTATGATTTAGGTATACCTCCAAAGGCAAAGATGTATATTCAATATCATTGAAATGGCCTCTAAATAATGAACTTCAATTGGGAGCACTCGACTCAAAAATAGTGGACAAAATAGAGTTATTAGGGGTGTCCGACCCCTTGACATTTAAAGCCAAGAATAATGGAACTGTAGTCGTGTTCCCTGTCCTTACACCAGACACTAACCTTCAATTCGCTTATGTCCTCAAAATTAAGACCAAAATAAGTGTTAATTATATAATTTAATGAAACACCCTAAATATATGTGAGAAAGTTTAATAACTCCAAATAATTTGATAAACTACATTAAAATAATTATGAAATTTAACAATTATTTTTTATTGCACTTTCAAAAAAGTGATACTGTATATAATTCACAGATATTTAAACTATTTTTCTATTATTAGTATTATAGTGAGAATTAGAGCACAAAAAACACTGTATTAATAACACATAATCTGATGTGTTATTGAAATTTTTGTTTCAATTTTAATAAACATAAGTTTCACACGAATAAGCCATTTGCTGACATCAATTGATAATCAGTTGCGGTACATCTTATGTTTTACAAAAATCTAATCTATTTATAAATTTTAATTATTTCTACACTTGTTTTCTCACTAATGAAAAGATTGGAAATTTTTAGGTAAATACAATATATCATGTCACAGATATACCTTTCATTATATCTCAAATGAAACTGTTGTGAAACTGATCTCATGTTTTAGAGCCAACAGAAGTGTATGTCGTATGGATCGGACGAAAACTTTATTCAGAAGATTCCTATGGATTTCTATAGCTTTGCTAACACTTGTATTAATTGTTATTTTTATGTTTAAATATAAATTAGAAGACGATATATTTCAAAATGGTTTGAATTCATATTAAAACTGTAATATTAACTATTGATTCAAATAAATGGTTTAAAATTTGAATTTGTTTTGAATTTTGTAGATTTAATAATATATAGGAATAAAAGTCTTCATAATTATAAAACTCATAAAATATCGAAACGACAGACAAAAGGAGTGAAAATAAAGAGTGAATCTGTTTGTGACAATAATGAGTGTCAAAAATACGGACAATTATTTAAGCAACTCATCAATCCATCAGTGGATCCGTGCCATGACTTCTATGATTACGTTTGTGGCAAATTTGGCACAAGAGCTGACATACCCGATGATATGATCTCCTTTGGGGTACTCGAGAGGTCCGAAGAAAATTTGACACATGTTTTAAGAAAACATTTGAGTGAACCAAACAAGAGATGTGACTCCAGGGCTGTTAAATATGCCACCAATTTGTATCAGGGATGCATTAATTTTGGTATTTAAATATTTTCTTAACTATAATCATAACTATAAGAATAACTTTAATATTACCGTAATAATAATAAATGTATTACCTTGTCTACTTAATAGACAAACTAGAATCCCGTGGAATTAAGCCACTGATCGATGCATTAAAGTTAGTATGATAACAAGATATGAATTTTAAAAAATTAAGACAATAATACTAACATTAATATTACAGTTCAATCGGCGGATGGCCTCTCGTCCCAAACACCGGATTCAATGATCAGACTTACGATCGCTTTGAGGCCCTATCACTGGTTATCGCCAACTTTGCTTTGAGTTCAATCATTGAAGTGGGAGTTCAGCCGGACATCAGGAATAACACCAAAAATATACTTTATGTTAGTTTTTCAATATTCTTATACAGTAGACAACTATTAATTGATTCAATACTGACAGTTGGGTTCAGCGCCGGACTTATCCTTAGAGTGGAAGAGACGTCGGAGTCGTCGAAATCATACGAGACTTGTGGTGCCAATTGTGCCCAATATGTTGGATAAGTCCATGGAATCTGAATCAATGGATGAGCTCAAACTGATCCGTGAGTTCATCCTAACTCAGTGTCTAATTATGGGCGCCAAAGACACGGCTCGCACTCTCCAACAAATCGATGAATTGTTTCAATTCTCTTCACGACTCGACAGTGTATTTAGATTTTGGTGAAAACTACAAATTTGTTATTTAATTACTTTTTATATTATAGATTGAAAGCGAAGACGAGAACTTACAATCTCTTTATAACAAAATGACTTTTAGACAATTGAATCAATTGTCTGGCAATCAAATGGATTGGCTTTTGATAATTAATAACATTTACCGCATCATTGGTACAGACATTCGCTTCAATTACGACGACAACTGTATTGTAACGGATGTCCAATATTTCCGAGAATTACCACAAATACTACTAAAGACTCCGAACAGAGTTATCGCCAACTTTTTGGGCTTTTCTGTGGTTCAGGCCTTAAGTGATTATACGATCGAAGCGTTTAGAGAATTGGACTTTGAATTACAAAAGTCTTTGACGGGTATCACAAAACCTCCTGAATATTGGAAACTATGTGTGGAATTAGTGGACGGATTAATGTCTTTCGCCATTAGTCGCAAATATATTGAACATAATTTCAATCTACGAACCAAACGAAAGGTTTGCAAAATATTTTGCTCGGAGACTCAACATTTATGCTATTGTTTTGTTTAGTCAACAGAATTAGTGAATTTTATTCAAAAGGCATTTTACAAATCACTTAAAAGTAATCCAGTTTTGGACAAAATGACGAGAACTATGTCTTTGAATAAAGTGAGAAAAATGGCTAAAAATGTTGGATATCCCGACTGGATCTTTGATGACCGCACTCTCGACAATATGTATAATTTGGTTCGTATTAATCAAATAACAAATATTTAATTTAGTATTATATGATATTTGTACTTATTATTACAGGAGCTAGATTGCAACCAAGATCAAACATTTGAATGTATTGTATACCTATTGACTCGATCCGTTTATACCAACTTTATATCTATTGATCAACCAGTAAATGCCTCGCTCAGGTATTAAACCATTTCAAATTATTTTGGTTTAATTAAGTAATTTACTATTTTTACAACTAAATATTTCTTAATTGCCGGTATATTTAAGTTGGCCATTTGCATCTCAAACAGTAAACGCCGCATACTTTCCAACATTTAATTCAATAAGTTTGTATTCAAATTAATATTGCTTTAAAGGTAATTCACAATTTAAATCTTGAATCTAGCTGTACCTGCTGCTGTTATCAATACGTTTTTTAATTGCGATAACCCGCCCTATATAAATTATGCTACATTAGGACTTGTAAGTATTTTAATATATAATTTATATTGCTATTACTTACAATTCTTGGTTACATTAGATAGTCGGACATGAAATCACCCACGGATTTGACAACTCTGGTGCCATTTTAGTTTCAGTTTATCCAATGTTTAGATTATTTAATAGTTAACTTCTTAATAGGCAGTCAATTTGATTCGTGCGGCAATTTGGCGTCCATTTGGGACTCAAGAACTCAGAATAGATTCCTCCAAAAGGAGAACTGTTTTGTCAATCAATACAACAAATTCTGTGATTCAGGATTCTGTGTCAGAATTTTATGCTTTTTATAAGTGTTTTAAGACTTATTTAAAACACAATCACTTATTGAATATATTTAGGTGAACGGGGAGAACACAAAGGGGGAGAACACCGCAGATAACGGAGGCCTCAGGACTGCATTCAAAGCATATAAGATGTGTAATCAATACAAAGAGGAACCAAAACGATTGCCTCAAGTGTCTCAATACACACCCGACCAGCTATTCTTCATATCATACGCTACGGTCTGTTCAGTTAATTATGTTTTCAACAAATATCTAAATTACCTATCTCAAATATCTAAAATCTTATGAAAGCTGTGGTGCGATAATATCAGACCAGAAGCCCTCGAAAGTGTTTTCCAAACTGATGAACACAGTCCTCCCAAGGCTAGAGTCAATGGTGTGCTGGCTAACTTTAAGTGTTTCGCTAATGCTTTCAATTGTCCTATTAATTCAACGATGAATCCACAAAATAAATGTGTTTTATGGTAATTACGGGTTAACACACATCACATTCAATCACCAATTCTTTCCATCACTGGTCGCGACTCATATTTTGTGATTCATAATAGATTTTATTTATAATTTTTATTTTTAGGATTTTTCTATTTTATTTAGGAGTTTATCATTATTCTGATTCATGTGTAATGTTATTATTATATTTTAAATTTGTAAATAAATACTTTTGTATTTTAATATCGATTGTATAATTATATTATATTTAGGTCTCAGTTACAAAGTATTAGACATTATAAAACAATTCTAAACCTTAGATATAAAGTATTAGGAGTTTTCCGTACAGTTATATAATATATACATTAAAATCAAGTCTAAGAAAAATACCTTAAAACATAGTAAAAGTCAAAACAAAAGTGGATCTGAGGTTTAAAACAATAGTAACTCTAAGATAATAGGAAATGCACTTCATTCATATAATGATAATAACATTATGATATAATGAGCACTTGAACTACAGTATTTTGAAAAGTTTCAATAGGAAAATAATTATCAATTAAACTGTTAAAACTAAGTGTTTACCCAAAAGACTAAACATAAAGTTTAATAATATTATTAATGTATTTGTTTAGATTACCACTTCATTATAATTGAATCTTTATTTATTTGCGATAACAATGGCAACAAAGCGTTCAAACATTTTTTACAATTTCCAAAAATACACTAATGTTTTGCACGTATGTTTAAAGTGTAGGCAGTTTATTACTGAATGTGATATCAATTATGTTAAGTTTAGTTTGTCATTTAGCCTTTGTTTCTATATTTGTGATTATCTGTAGACAATGTATAGTGCAAGATAAAACTTTAGTTTTCTGATAATCTCATACTTTGTTGTCTAATAAATTTTCCATTATTTCAAAATGATTTATTGGTCCACAAAGCATAAGATTTAAGATGATTGAGATATTGGTCCACTTAATAAATCAACAACTTTTTTAATTATTAATTACTATGTGTTTATCTTGTTTAAAAGCAAATCTTGTAAGTATTTACTTTATTTATATTATTTATGTACTAGGTTTATTTATAAATGCTTGCAAATCATACATTGGATGACCAATATGTTTGAATTTGATAAAATCATAAGAATCTCTAATTATATTAATTAATAAACTGATGGCACATATTGTAAAAATTGTTATAAATGAGTAGACATATAATCGGGATAAAATCCAAATGAGTAGAGATTGTCTGGATTTAATGTCAAAAATGGCTGGAATTCCGCTCGTATTCATTGCCGACAATAATATATCACATGTTGTGGTAAATGAACCAAAGATTTCTGGATTTGTTGCCCCGAATAGAGTCCAACCGAATATAGAGAATGCTATGAATAACAGCATAAATGTAGTCATAAACCGCATTATATCACTAAAACTCCGTTTCATAACTTGTATGGGAAAGTAAAAACTTGTATTGAATTTAAAATATCGCATAAAACTAATCCAAAGACAAAATACACCTGAACCAAACATTATTTGAATGATACAAATGTTGTCATAGCTGTGAGTTTTTAGTTTCAAAGAGGTTGCGGTCATTATAAGACAATCAGAGCTTAAAATAATTAAAATCCATTTTGGGATGAATTTTAGTTTGCCTTCATTTGAGAGTTGTTTTTGAAGATATTTCGTAAAATATTCAGCTGTTTGTTGTTTAAGTTGATATCCTTTTCTTAAATGCAATACATATTTAATAAATGATATAAAACACACAATTAAAACTATAAAATCAAAACATATGTTTGGAATTTGAATGCTATTTGAATTATCCGATAAATAGTGTCCAGTACATTCACGTCTATTAAATGACATCAAAATAGATGATTGAATACCTTTATGAATTTTCTCTGTGGCTATGCTTTCAATTGTCTGTAGTTGAGTGTCAGTCGAGACTACAGGTGCGATGATATTAGAAGTACTTCTGGAGTAATGAGCTGTAAATCCATTGATTTCTGTTGTATAGAATTCTGTTGTGTATAGCGTTATGCTATTGTCTAGAGTTTGGGTCGAGTAGACAGCGGAAGCCAAACCCGGCAAAGGAGTCCACGACTCGATCACCGTTGAACTGATGTGTCCGATATGGGCCAACAGCCCGTTAATACTTGTGGTGCGGATTTCAGTCGTATAAATGGTTGTCTTATTATTATTAATATCTGTACTCAATGTTCGTGTTATACCGTTTTGAACGATAGTTTCAACATTTGTTGAACTAATCATTTGTGAATTGCTATTTTGGTGGACACTCTCGTGGCTTTGCGGGACAGCAGTGCTTTGGTTTTGGTTTTGGTTTTGGTTTTGGTTAACATCAATATTATGAGAGACCGCAACCGATGGCTCCAGAATAGTGTTAGTTTGAATGGAAGGGAGTATTAAATTAGAAAAAGCAGCTTTGGATGAAGTGGTCAGAGAAATGCGATCAGACATAAGAGAAGTGCAGTCTTTGATGTAAATGATTACAAGAATATCATTGCAAACAAATCTGTTGACACTTCTAAAGATGAGAAACAAGACTTAGAGGCAAATCCTATGGAAGAAGTGAAATCTGATCCATACATTAAAAACGATTTGAATGAATTGGTAGTAAATAAACAAACCATATCTTCAAAAGATTTGATGTCTGAAAATGTGTCGCAAAAAGAGGACATCGAAACAGGAGATAAAAAGACGGGAATTATTACAGAGAAGACTGAAATGAAAGGATTGCAAACATTAATCACTGAAATATATGGCACTTTAATAAATGGGATTTACGCTCAGTTTGCGGTCACCCGAACTGTTTTGGATTCAAAACCTACAACAAGTAGTCCAATAAAATCCATTTCGCCGTTCAGTGAAGAGTCTGTAGAGCCGTCGTCTTCGGGAACATCAATGATGAGCTCATCTCTTAACTGGCACTCAATTATTGATTTAAATGATAATAATCACGAATCAAAGAGTTTGCAAACTAATGCGCCTATTGTTGAATCATCTGAATCTCAATTCAAACCAATAGCTGCTTCAGAGACTCCATCCATGTCTTCAGTATTAATGGAAACGGGATTGTTGTCATCAAATGAGGAGACAGTAATAAATGACAATAAGACGACTTTAGTAATAAAGCAAATCTATGGTACGTATATTAATGGCATTTACGCCCATTTGGCGAAATCGAGAACTCAACTTCTGTCTAATCCCTCATCTCTGA